TGTCTGGATTCCTCATCTATATTTTAAAATCCTCCTCTATTACTGCTTTTTGTTTCACAAAGTCTTTTTAAAGAATTGCTAGGTGCTTTACAAAAGTAAAAAGCCAGACGTGTGATCTATGCTTCAGACCCAAAGCCTTACAGGGACAACACAAGCAGGAAGGGACAGCAATGGTGAGGATTAAAAGAATTGCTCTTTTGAACCTGGCTTTTCTCTTTCATGTGCATGGGAAAAAAGGAGCACTTCCTCAGGTGGAAACATTTAGTGCAGAGCTGGTCTGGCTTACATTTGGGATCAAAGACAGGAGGAAGAAGAGACTAGAAGGGTACACAATATTGTGTATGCCAAGAGCACACTATGAATTTCCACAGTATCACGACGACGATCTGCGTTCAGTTCCCTATTCACTTCCCAAGAACTGCTAGGATTGTCTCCAGCTGATTTTTGCCATTTCTTAGCACCGAGTTGGTTTCAGTACGGTGAGGATTAAAAGAATTGCTCTTTTGAACCTGGCTTTTCTCTTTCATGTGCATGGGAAAAAAGGAGCACTTCCTCAGGTGGAAACATTTAGTGCAGAGCTGGTCTGGCTTACATTTGGGATCAAAGACAGGAGGAAGAAGAGACTAGAAGGGTACACAATATTGTGTATGCCAAGAGCACACTATGAATTTCCACAGTATCACGACGACGATCTGCGTTCAGTTCCCTATTCACTTCCCAAGAACTGCTAGGATTGTCTCCAGCTGATTTTTGCCATTTCTTAGCACCGAGTTGGTTTCAGTACATTTCACCCCAACTTGACTAAAGGGAGTTAGATTCAGGCTAGATATAAGGAAGACATTTTTTACGCTGAGGGTGGTGAAGCACTGGCCCAGGTTGCCCAGGGAGGTGGTGGATGCCCCATCCCTGGAAACATCCCAGGTCAGGCTGGACGGGGCTCTGAGCAACCTGCTCTAGTTGAAGATGTCCCTGCTCATTGCAGGGGGGTTGGACTAGATGACCTTTAGAGGTCCCTTCCAACCCAAACTATTCTATGATTACCATCCACAACACCTCTAAGGCCTTTTCCCTGGGTAACAGTTACTACAGAAACCCTCTAAGGAAGTTCAGATTATTCCTCCTTGTATTCATTTCCACTATTTCATCTGCCATTTTAAAATGGTCCACCACCCTGAAAGCCCCGAGAGCATCACTTGAGAGTCAATGACTTACTCAAGCCTACCATCTCTTCCCGCTCCCCTTTCCAGACTGTTTATGCACTCATTACCCAGCACACACTTTACTGAAGATTCAGTTGATAGCTTTATTATGAAAATCAGCTAAAGTTGTACTTTGTTTCCTATTCTATTAATTGACCAAACTTCTTCTCTCTTATTCTCTGACAGCTTAGAGAAACTACGGGGCCTTGCAAGGGACTCTCACCAAAACATCTTCGAAAGTGCCATTTTAATACGTGACCCAAGTTTACTACCTGCTTGCTAACACCTTCCAAGAGCTCCAAGAGACTCATGAGGCATGGCTTCCCCTACAAAAGCCATGCTGCCTCTGCCACTACCCACCTGCTCTGTTCCTCACCAGCAAACCTACCAACTTGACATTATGAGATTCAGACTGAGTGACCTTTCATCCAGAAGCATCAGAAAAGCAGCACTACCCAACAGGGGCTTTAAAGGAGTTAAAAAGATGGAGTCATCACCTTCTCCGGAAGCAGGCCTATTTCTAACAGCTAAAGTTCAGAAGAAAAAGCCTAAGGTGGCAGAGAGTACAGAGAAGTTAAGGTGCTCTCTGCGTACACCATCTAGAAACAAGTATTAGCTCTCTGCTGTGCAGACCCCACATGTTAGCACTAAAAGCTTCGGCAATTTAGCCGCAGCCTTATGAGAGACAATTTGGAAGATGGCAGGAGAAAGATAAGCATCTTTACACCTACTTTGACAGAAAAAAAGAAAGACAAGAGGAAAAAAAGACCTGACAGCATGATAACCCAAGCAACAAAGGCTCATACCGAGGCCTTGGAAGTCACATGAGAAGGTGGAACGCAAGAAAACCACAACAGCTTTTACTGAACAACCTCCTCTTCCAGATTTCAAAGACCTCACTCTTCACAACTACAGACACCCCACTTAACTTTTGTTACCCCATCTCTTACTCTGCTGCACAGTCTGTTGCTACTACTGTGACATCCCACATTGCTCTTGCCTTGCAAACAGAATTCTGTAATTTACCAAGGCTGTTCTATTTTACAAATCAACATTGAGTTGTATGAACTGCTCTGCAACCTCCGAAGTCTGGAAGACTTACTGTAAATAAGCACAAGAACAGCTATTCTGTATCTTACCTTGAACTCTTCTTTTGTGTTTGAAATCTGAGCAAGTTCTTCTCGAAGCTGATCTTCAAGAGTTCTTATTTTGTCATCTTTGATGTGAATGCTGAGACACAGCAGAACAGTTAAATACATTTCCTCATCCAAGTCTTACAAAAAGCATCGATTCAGAAGAACATAAAAAAGACTGACAAACATTGTTTACCAAATCCCAGAGCTATTTACCTTTTCTGCATCCTTTCCAGCTCATGTGCAGCAGCAGCCTAGATATAAAGAGGATTAACACAGACTTAGGATACATCACACGATTCAATCAACCTTTCATTCCACAATATTAAAAAGCTAGAACAAGTCATTTGGCCTCTCAGCACATGACTCACCAGCAAGAGCAAAAGGGGTAAACTTGTCCTCATGCACTTTTAAAACAACAATATATACCAGGCAAGCATGCAATTACGCAAAGGGAAGATGATCTTGAAGAGATTCATTTGACAACCAGGATTATCTCTAATTAAACACTGCGCTTCCACCTCTGTAATGAACAGGCCACATAACAGTAACAGAGGGAAAGCATTTTGTTTGGTTCTAAAGAGATGTCTATGGCGAGATGGGGGTTTTTGTGTGCTTTTGGGTTTTTTCAGAGGGATGCTTATGGCCCTCATATGCAAATGCCAGGACTGCAGATTCAAGCACAGTTGTGTTCAGTCTTGTCAAGTGTCCTGCACTCTGCATGCCTGCAAATCTAAACCAAGCACATTGCTTCAGTAACTTGGATATCCAAGTAAGAAAGATTTCACTGGTGAAGGAAGGGTAAGACGTAAGCCTCCCACCAGCTAGAACTCCAGGGAATCACATATTAGCCTGATTCAGTAGCCTCACACCTTTAATATGCTTCAGCACAGCTCGCTTAAAGCCAACGGATCTGCATTTGCATTTATGACAGAATAGGTAGTGGGAAGAGAGTAAAATTAAATATTTAATGAAAGAATTATTTTACCTGTTCATTTGTCAGAGCCTGTAATTTTTGTATTTCTGATTTCAGGGATAGGTTCATGTTCTGTAAGACCTGAAGGAAAAGAGAAAAAGAAATATATTTGCACTTTGCATAGAGACAGTATTTCAGGTAAGTTCACTCTCCAGTGCAAAGTATTTCAGGTTATTTTTTGAAGCACTCTAGAGGTAATTGCAAGGGAAAAACCTCGAGCTTTCTTATCAACAGCTTCCCAGCATCAAGCACTGGCCTTGCCTAGAAGAGCAAAATCAGCAGACTTGTAGCTGAAAGAGGTGTTTCTAGACCCAAAGGCAGCAGCCTTGCGGGCTTCATTTTGTACACGCAGCCGAAGAGCCTCTCCCTGTATCAGCTGGTATTTACACATGCTTTTATTATACCTTGAGCTCTTCCTCCTTGCTGGTTAAGTTGGCATGTTCGTTGCCTAATGAGTCCTCCATCTGCTTTATTTGTTTGTCCTTTTCCGCAATCCTACACAAACAAGTAACGATGATATATCAGTACTAAAAGGTCTTGGATCAAAGTGGTACATGAAGCATCGGGCTAAACACAAAATACATGCTGGCCCTTAAGTCTAGCTCCTACTTTAAATCCTGCTGACAGTACACTTTGGGTCCAAAAGCCCTTCCATCCATTTTAAATGCTGTTTGCTTGCCAAAAATTTATGAGACATTCTCTAGCTCTGAAACACAACAACTACCCCATCTCCCCAAGGGAGAAATCTCCTGGCACAGCCATAGAACCCAAATATTAACAATTCTCATGGTCAGGCGCAGTCCTGCACACTGCACTGATCCCTGCACATAGGCAGTGGTAAACAAGAGAGGAGGCATTACTTTCTGTGTAGCATATAGAGTCACATACAATGGACTCCAAACCTGAGGCCAGACACGGAAGGGAAATCCGCAGGAAGCGGTTTCCCAGCTCCCAAGTCAACCTCACGGTGAGAAGTTAAACAGTATAGACAGCAACATTTCCTTCAGTCCTTCAGACAGCAACAATCCCTCCCATACGCACTGCATGTGCGTGGAGGAAAGGTGGCATGCATTAAAAGCCAGTAACACCTCCCAAATACCAGAGGAAACGAATGCTCACACTTTGTGTAGTTCTTCTGCCAGGACTGAAGCTGAGGTCTGCAGAAGGGAAAAAAAATAGTGAAAGTAAAGCAAGTCAAAGAATCACCATCTACAGTGAGCCAGGAATAGCATTTGTAAGATTTCTCCAGTTATTTTAAACTGGCACAGGATGCTTCCAACTATTTCCTGGCTAAGGAACATTGAAGGAATACCAGCACATACTAATGTCCCTTTCCCTCTGGCCTAAGGCAACACGAAGGGAAAAAACGAACCATCTTATTTAGCCTTTACCAGATTCAAACAAGCCACGGGGATCACCAGCACTTGTCTCCCAAGGATTAAGTGCTTTATGGGATATTCTGCTGACAAACCACTTGTATTTAAAGAAGAAAACCCTGCACAGTGCATCAGAACTTGTTAGGAACAGAAACAGCAGCATAAAATCAGCAAGTGGTATTTTTTCCCCCCTGGAAAAAGCCTATTCCTATGTGGTCGCCCACAACAGGGCAGGAGAGACCAGTCACACTGGTTATCTGGCACCAAGGGACCTCTGCAGACTGTTTCACATCCACAGTTTGCTGGCAGCTGTGGCAAAACTTCCATGTTCATTTGTGCTTCAGATACATGGTTCTCCTTATCCAGCCTTACCCTCCCCCAAAATCCTGGATCTCGCAGAGCTTGTACCCATGAGACCCTATAGCAATTCCTATACTGCTTTATCCGGATCATACCATAGAGAACAACATCAGAGAAAAAAAATCAAAGGGAACAAATAAATCAAAGGGAACAAATAGTTCCAGTCCCAGAGGGTCTCCTTAATGACCAAAACAGTTTCATCAACCCTGACGTCCAGAGCAGTATCCAGTCCAGCCTCGCTTCCCCAAAGTGCTATTTTCACACCCACTGTCCCCGGTGGAAAAATGGCCCTGTATTTTCACAGCCAGTGGGGCTACATGGGGAAAGCACACACCTCCTTCCAACAGCCTCCTTGTGTAACCCAGAGCTAAAAAGTAAAATTTCCCTAGGGGTTTATTTTCAAAGCCCTTTTAAAGGACTGGGATGAGAGGAGTAGGTCATGAAGATGCTGTAAATCCGGGGTGCCTCTTCCTTCGCTACTCTCCCCACCCAATGGGTTAAAGCTCTTCAAGCAAAGCCAAATGACACATTTTCAGTCGGATGCCGAATCTGATCAAACTACATCAAGCACGTCCATGATTAAAGAACGCAGCACCCAACTGCACAGGAACAGCCACCATTTGTGCCCACAGGAGTTACGGCCTTTCTGAGCTGATTTCTGTGAGCTAGCTCTACATGGAAGCAACTTCAGTGACTCCGAGGTTTTACATAGTGTTTACAACAAATTATTTCAAAGAAACTAGTCAAGCTAAAATTTTAGACACTAAAAGAATTGAGAAAGGCATTGTGCGGGTTTGGTGGGGTTTTAGCAGGTTTTGGGGGTTTTTTTTCCCCTTTTTTCTGCACAGAAATCACCACTGGAATGAACAAACAGCTTTATATGTGAGCTACCATAAGACACTTTCTCAACCCGATGCACAAGGGAAAAGTATGATCAGGTGGTTCACAGGAAGACTGCAAAAAGACCAAAGAACCACAAAACAGAATTGTACACATGCAAAGCTACAGAAAACAAACATTCAAAAAAGGTATTCTACCCTTTGGTTATAAATGAAAGCCACTACAGGAGGAAATAAGTGGATTTTTTTCCCCCAAAAGGACAGCAGAAGCTTGAGTTTTAAACCAGTTTGAGAAACATTAGAAAAGAGGACGCTAACAAGTCTTTGCTTTCAGCATTACATATCTCATATCCAGCGACAGAAAAAAAAAATCTGACTTTTAATGAAAGTTCACAATTCATGACTACAAAAGAAAGTCTGAGAACATGCTGTACCTGGGCTGCCATTTGTGAATGAAACTTCTGAAGCTGAGCATTCAAAGCATCATTCTGCTCTATCAGCTCCTTGTAAGAGAGCACAGAAAGAAAAGCAGGCTGAGATCTGCAGCTAGTCAACTTTTGCTAGGATTAGCTCTTAGCCATGATTATGTTAGTAAGAATAGTTTAGCATTTGCATGTCAGACAGTTTTCAAAGATGCTATTTTTCTCCCCACTAAGATCAGTTTGAAGATTGAACCAGTTTGAGTGGAAGCCTAAGAACCTTGTTTGTATGAAGAGAAAAATACTCCCTGCCCCACCATATGCCATTTGGTTTCCCTGAAGCCCTCAAGAGCTATGTCCACACTGCCTCTCACCACTTGATGCCAGGAGGAAAAAGATGACTCCAGAAGAGCTCACACAAACAAAGGTACATGGCTGCTCTTCCAGGGTGTTCCCCAGACCACAGCATCATTTCACAGCTTGGGAAGTTGCCTGGGTCAGCACGTTTTCCTGACTTGCCCAGAGTGCTTCTCCAGTTGGAGGTGGCCCCAGACCTCCTCACAGCACCACACACACAAGGTCTCACTTCGTAAGTTGCCAGATGATAAGACTGGCACGCAGCTTTCTCATTCTTTATTCAGTGGAAAAGCTTTACTAAAGCAGCATTTCAAGGATATTACTGTGTTTCCGTAGGCACAAAGTGGGAGGAAAAAACCAAACCCTTAAGATACTTGAGCAATACTACCTGCACCTGCATTTGCATGGAGTCCTCCGCAGTAGCTCTCTTTTGCTCAGCCTCCATTAACTGCAACATCCTCTGCTCCAGCTGCTGTTTTGACACCATTGTATCAGTAAGTTTACTGTGCAAGCTCTGGATTTCATTGTCTTTGGCCACAAGCTTATTCTGCACATCTGTAGCAGAAATGTCAGGGTTTTAATTCAGAAGTAAATATTTAACTTTGGGGGAAATAACTTTCACTGTAAACAGGGAGGCTGATTAGAAGCCTCATTCCAGCAAGCCAAGGTTCAGTGCTCTCATCAGCATTCAGACTAACTGGTATCACAACATACTATTTCCCCAGGGTGCTGAAGCAGTACTGACTTCACCTGAGCTTTATTTAAGCCATTTACTCAATAACACTCTTTTACAAATGGCAAAAGCCAAATCACTGCAGTAAGTGTTATTTGGGAATTTTGTGATACATGCCTTGTTGTGCTGCTTCGTGTTCTGCTGTTCTTTTCCTGAGATAAGCCTGGATTTCTTCCCATCTTCGCTCCGCTTCCTGCTGCTGGACCTTCACATTGAAAAGAGTTGATGAAAAGAAGTCTAATCTTTAATTTCTTTTTGAAACATTCAGAGTGTATCTCTTCGGTGCTATTCCCTGAACACATGGCAATGAAGTAAAATTGTTTCTTGCATCCATTAGGGCACATCAGAGAGACAGAGGGCCCTGTAATCCTCCTCCTCTAGGAGTTTAGCCTATTAATTTGAAAGGCAAATTGTGAACAGGATTTCATTATAGGCTCCTAACAGGATGGTTTCTGTAATATAAAAGTATAGCATCTTTGCCCTGCAAGTTCAGAATTAACATTAGAAGCCAGACTAGCCATGCATCACATAAATCTGCATCTAGTAATTAAAACATGTCTCAACTCTAGATAGCAACTCTCCACCTGCAAGGGCTAGAGGCAGGGAGAACTGGTAACTAAGACTTAATTGCAAATATGAAAAAACTAATGAGCTCTGGATTGGCATTCTCACCCGAAAACACTAGGTTTCTCTTTTGAAAAAAGTTTAATACAAAAGACCTTTTCTTCCAAAGAAAAGGAAAGAGATTCATCCAGAAGCCAGTCCATTTACATTTTAACTCTTAAAAAAGTATATTTATTTAAAAATGTAAACATACATTAAGGAAAAGCATGTAGTTTCAAATAAAAATCACACAAGGACAATGCCATCTGGACAAACGACTCCAAAATATCAGATCTTGCTGGAATTGTACACTCATAGAAAGCAAAGTTCAACATCACCATGTTGAACTTTAATCTTTTTAAAATATTTACCTGGAAAGGTAAGTTTCACTTCATAGGGAGGTTGGTAACCACTCAAAACCCAGAGTACTGAACAAAAACATTAAGCCAACCCATAGGCTGGCTCAGCCTATCTGAAAATAGATACTTGCACATATAAAGAAGACAGATTTAGTGGCCAGGGAAACAGCTAAAGCGATTCTCACACACCTCACATCCCACCTGATTCAGAACTTGGCTCAGATAAAGCCTTGAGCACAGCTCAACAGGCAGAGAAAACCCAAGTCACCTTTAGCTGAGCAACTGCCTGCTCTGCATTCTTCTTCTGGAGCTCCTCTTGCTGCAGCTTACTGCTCTTCTCTCCCAGCTCATTCACCAGCCTAGCATAATCCTGCCGCAGTTTGTTCAGTTCAGCCGACTGCCTAAAAATAAACATTTTCACAGGTTTTTTTTTGTTTGATTTTTTGTTTGTGGGTTTTGTTTGGGTTTTTTTTTGTTTTTTTACAAGAAGCATAGGCCATAACAACAGCTACTCAAATATCAACGCCAAGTCCTATATTTGCAGCCAGAGGGCTGTACTGGGTGGGTTGTTTGTGGTTTTTCTCCCCCCACCCCCGCTTCATCCTAGGAAAGGGATGAGGGTCAGGTACTCTCGGCCATCAGCACAGCAGCTACAACCCACTGAGTCAGAAACAAAAGGTCAGCAATAAGCCACAAGCATCTTTTCCTTTAAAAGGTTTGCAAGCTGATGGGCATAATTTGGACAGGCTTATATAAACTAAAGAGGCTCAGCACAAGGAAAGGTCTCACATTGAAATTCACATTCCTTTCCTCTTCCCATAAAGGATTATTGATCTCAGACTTACTCAAGACTATTCCTCCTGAACTACTAACTGCATGCATCTCTTTAGACTATACGTTGCCTCCTGGCCTTCACTTGTCTATTAACTTATGAAGTACCTGATGCACTCTCACTTAGGGAGAGAAGATGCATTTGTATAGGCCAAGGGAAGAATTTTAAAAGGCTCCCCTTTGTGTCTAAGCAAATAAAAAGCATTTTATTTTCATCTTAAGTTTGCCTGAATTAAGGATTTTAAGGTAACTGTCTAAGAGATAATGATGCTTCATTTCTACAAACAGGACATCTAAAACCAGGGTATCACTACCCTTCTCCGAGTGCTCATTGTATCAACCTGCCCCAGCAGGACACGCACAGGGAGCGGAACGCACCTCTGTGAGCTGCGCTTGGCAGTGCAGAAGCTGTTAACAGAAAGGTCCATGTAGAAGCAGCACCTCTGCAAGAACGGCATAGTCAGAAAAGGAAGACACTGAGCCCTTTCCAAGTCCTGACAGTGGTTTTGACATTCTCGTCTCCAACAGTAACAAATATCCAAGAGCATATGAAGTGCCGGTTTTGCTTCCTATAGGCAGAGGCCCACCGGCAGCAATCCACCCGCCTGACTACGCACCTTACCGGGGTGCCCAGCTTTTACCACAATATATACAACCCTCTGCCAGCTCAGGGACAGCCTAAGTCATAACTCACAAAAGATGAAACCCTGAGATGCCTTTTTGTCTCTCCAAAGATTTGCAACACCAGCAGATAAATCCAAGTGCTGCCCCAGCAGTATCACCAACTGCAGGGTGTTGGTATTTTTTTCTTATTGCAAGACTGATTTATAAGTTTAGAGCTATTGTTCTCCCAAGAGGCCAGCGTCAGCACTGCTCCTAAAGCCCCAGGGGAAAGGATACATACCCTGCCAAAAACACCAACCGTGGCTGAGCACTTCTGCACTTTTCTGTTAAAGCCTCAGCACCCACCCTCTGAAAGCTCAGGCTTCAAACTGATAAAAGACAGTAACCTGTTTTGAAAGCCTTGGCTCAATGCAAATACAAATAGCTACCTTCCCAGCCCAAAATAACTGTGTTCTAGTTTAACCACAAATTCAGAGATGGCCAAGGAGATGGAAACAAAAGGAGCAGAAGCCAGAACAACTCTTCAGGGAAGGCTTAAAAACACACAGAGCTCCGAGTAGCTGCTAACATACTTGCTCTCCATTTGATTGGTAGAAGTACTGACAGCATCTCTCAGGATACCGTTTTCCTGCTTCAGGTGGCTTATTTCTGCCTCCATCTGCTCACGGAGTTGCTGGAACTGATGGGGAAGAAAAGATCAATTCAAAAAAAAATTAAACTAAGGAGAAATAAAAAAACCCAATAACTTGTAACTATAGGTGAAATATCACAATAGTTTAAGTAAATAAAACTAAGTAGATTTTTTGGGAGAGGGGCAGCTTTACATCCTTCCTCACACACCCACTCTTAAACTAAACTCTGCAAGTCAGACCCTCTTGCTCAAATAAAAGCACCGGTTTCCTTTTATACCAGTGTATCAACCTATTTATCAAGGCAACCTTTTTTGTTTGCTTGTTTAAAAGACTACGCAAGTGTTACTTAGGACACCAACTGCTCAGCTGTATAACTTTACATACTTGTCAATAACTGGATAGCAACATATTACTTTTCCAAAGGGAAATAAAATAAATGCACTGTGAATTAACACTAGAAGTTTACAAAGCCTTTAAGCAAAGCAGAAAAAGTATAAGATAACTAACAATACACAGATTATAGCACATAAACTGCAAAAGGCTAGTTCTCATCTAATATCCTGGTCAAGATTAAGAAATAGATCCTTTATTTAGGCAATATTATGCTTCAATTGCATTTCCAACACAGTTTGAAACTGAGACAGAGAGAAGCCCTGATAACCTAAGGCTGCTTCGGAATAGTGCAAACAAAATCAAAGGACAGGATTCAAAGGGGAAAAAAATGGAATCTGCATATGCAGACGACAGCATAGCTGGTTTTACAGCCCAACGGCCTACTTTGAAAATCCTCAAGCACATACAGCTATAATACTTCTTCTACCAGTGCCAGTTTGTAGATATATGGCTGACACCATTTCCAAGACCCAGTTTCATCAAATGGCTGACTCACCAATGAGGATTTTGTAGACAAAAAAAATCCAAACAAGTGTTTGTGTAACAACCACAGCAGGAGATAGCAGTCCCTTGTAGGGCAGCAACCTCCAATTCAGCACCAACACATGTAAAAAGCTGGTCCTTGCATGTTTGTTGGGGGTTCTCTTGGTGTCCCCCCCCCTTTTTTTCTTTTAATGCCAACAGATATACAAGATCCCAATAGAAGCAAGGGCACAAGCCCCATATAACTGGAAGCTTGGACAGTTAAGTTTCAGCTTCTCTGCAGTGATACAGCACATCAGCAGGGGGAGCAGAACCAGAGCACTGGTTCCTCTGCGCATCCGTTCTCCAGCTTTGCCTGCTACAGCAGCATTTGCAAAAGCCACCCAGTCGTGCCCAGATCTCCGTCACCCTCCCCAGCCAACAGTAAGACCCTCTCATTATGCAGTTGTCTGTACAGGTTCGAAGGAAGTTGTCTTTGCTCTGGAGAATGTAGTTCTGCTCCAAAGCTGCAGAGATGCTACTCTACAAAGTGCCGAGACAGAAAATACAGTATTAAAGGCTGGAAAGTTCACATGCTGGGCTTGATACTGTGGCATTTATATAGGAAAAAATACTAGAATGCCAAATCTAAGCACCAGTCAAGTTGGTGTAAGAGGGGCCATTTTTCTTAGAAAACTTTAAGTCAAACTTTTCAATCTCATGAAACAAACTCTTCTGAGGTCACTCCATTATAACGCAACTTCAGGAGACAGTAACAAGGGTCTTAAAAAATGCAAGTGTCTGCCCTTCAAATATTTTCAAAGCACTCTCCCAGGCAATGATTTTTCTTGTATATTATGCTATGGTGTCACTCTGTACTATAATTTAAAAAGTGAGATTTATCAGCTGGTAAAAGATCATCAGCATTAGTGGCTCTCTGAAGTTGACTATTCCAGTTAGATTTTACACTTTAATTGAATAACATTTCAGCAGAATACCACGAAGCAAAAAAGTAACCAAGATCAGAGACCAGCTCCTAGCTAGCAATAGTCTTTTACAGACTACTGAAGTCACCTATGAGAACATCTTGTCTTTCTTTTAAGTCAGGACACTGCCACAAAGTTTCCCATGCTCATGCAGAGGTGTTATAGCACCAGCTAGAGCACACTGCGTTCAAGGCTCACGGTAACTAGTGAAGCCAATTTCTGAGCAAACAACAAACACTGCACCCTGGCTAAAGCAAAGGTTTCTCAGCACTGATGTGCTTGCGCGTGAACATGAACTCGAACGGTTTTGGTAAAGCATTTACCTTTATCTTCATCTGCTGAGATTCTTGGTAGCTAACATGTATTTTACTCTGAAAAGTGCCATGCTCCTTTTCCAGCGTGTTGATGCGCTCTCGCATTTTCGCTGTGAGCAAGCCGTTTCTCTCCTTTTCTGCAACCAGCTCCTTGGGTGGGAGTGAAAGGAAAAAGGGAAAGAAGTTATCTACTGCTCCTTTCTAGAGTCTAAGAGTGAGTGGTTTAAGATAACTAAAAACACAGCAAGCGTGCATCAAACCAAAGTCAGCATCAATCTTTCCTCAGAGAAATTACAGCATTAGACCTGACCACACTTCCAGCACCTCTGTAAGGATTTAGGATCAGCATAATTTCACATTTATTAAAAAGAGGTTTGCCAATTTAAACACTGGTCTTCGGTTGTCTCAGAAGAGCTGGAGTCTTGTTTCTATTGAGTTTGGCCAAATTACACAGAGTCCTAACAATTAAAACCATGGATATCACATAGGGCAGAGCTTAGATGTTCATCCCAAGTTTAGCAAAATGAAGAACACAGGTAAACCGTGGCAAAACTACAGAGCATTTTAGAGCAAATTGTTGGCTTTGCAACCTTCTACAAAGCAATTATTTTGCCAGAGGAGATGGGCTATTAGTACCCAGCAACAGCCAGAGAAGCCCTGAATCCCACCAGCATGACGCCATATTATAGCAATGTGTATTTTCATTTGAAAGCTATTTAGATTAATCATTTATTAGCTAGTAATTCAACCCAGACACCTGAGAAATCCATAGAGCTGCTCCTCCGCAATATAAATGCACTTGCTGTAGCAAGCAAAAACATTAACTGCAGTTTTCAGCAAGCTCCCATCGCAGAATGAGGTATTTGTACCATCTAAGCTTCAGGTGTCTCCAGCTACGCAGCACAGCATGCAGCTCCTTACAGTGCCAGGGAGCCTTGACAGATAATTTAAGTGCTCTAAATTATTAGCCTGAACACCCTCCATCTCTTCAGAGTAATTATTGCTTTTTCCACATTTTAATTTAAATAAAAGCTATGCTCTTTTAGATCCAACTTACTAGCTTCAGGAGGCTGTCCCCCCTGAATGAACTAAGTGACATGAGTTCCCAAGCCCATGTTCACAGAGGCATTTAGGAACTTGAGTCACACCAGACGTTAAGTCACTTCTGCAAACAGTGTCAATAGCTTGACACAAAGCCTTCTCCATGTTATATCTGCATCTGCTAAGATGCAACAAAAAGAAGGGCACCAGGACATACTGCAGCTTCCTTCTACCCCTCCACCAATTCCACCATCCATCTGCAGGCCTCACTAACTCGGCTACTTTGTCAAGGCAGTGCCAGAGATCCCTGGAAGATTAACTTTCACCTAGCTTGTGTTTTGCCGAATACCTCCGAGGTCAGGCACCTCTTGCTCTCATTTATCCTCTCCAGTTATCTTTATCAACACCCCTGCAGGAACACCTCCTCCGCACCTTAAAGTCCCTCCATAGCTTTTGGCGGTGTTTTCAGAGAAACACATTAATTAGAAGATAAGAGCTTTTTGTCAGTCAAGCTGAGCTTTTTCCCTTTGTTTATCCTGATACTTTAGCAGTGCAGCAACTTTGCTTTCATTATTTCTCCTTCTCCCTTCCCTCCCCCAATCCAGATGGCAAAAAACCCCTGATGACACAGCTCCTGCCTTGCCTTTGCAGGCACCACTTTGCAGATGTTTTTTCCCCGAGCACATCAGCCTCCCCCACACCCAGGCTCCTTCATACATTCCCTCTGTTTCTTTCGCAGCAGATACTCCTTTCACTCTACGATCCTGAGCCAGAGTTTCTTTTTTCCCCTCCAAACACATCACAAGTCCTTTCTCCCTACAGTTACCAAACCTCTTGATCCCACCTGCAAATGTACACATACCTGTGCCCTGCCAGGAGCTCACACAATACCCACTCCCTTCTTCCCTTCTCAGCCGCCAAGGCTCCCAACTCCCATGTCCTCTGGCCATTCTGCTCCCATCTTTAGCCACCCAGCTTTCTGTGTTCAACTTTTGTCCCACAACACGACCTTCCTGAGCCTAATGCCTGTGTGCTTCCAACTAGCCAAAACAAAGAATCCTCCGCCCAGAAAAGTCTCCAATTCACTCCTTATCTGCCTAATTATCTGTTCTACTGTAACTCCTTTCCTCTGAAACTTTCGTAAAAAAGTCAACTTTCATAAACTAGTCTTGACAGTGGTGCATCAGCAACCCTCCCAAGTCTAAAGCAATCAGAGCTGCAACTCACGGGGCTAAGCAGGCAGTCTACACTTTCTGTAACTTCCTTCATGAAGAAAACTGATGATTGTTGTGCCTAGAAGCACACAAGCATGAAATGCTAGAATATGTACCAATTTAAAACTGCAATGCGGAAAAGGTGTCTAATATTTGCATCCACAAAAGCATATTATACTCATGAAGGAAGTGTTTTTAAAGTAACCTTTTGAAAAGAAAAGTAGTCTCAGCTTAAGAGTCTCAGTAAACAAACTCTCTGGAAAAACTACTGGAAAATAACTCTGCATAAATACATTAATAGCATCATAAAACCATAGTGTCTTGGTAAGCTTTCCCTGTATATAAAAAAATCCATCTTCCAATTTATACTGATCTCAGTAAATGAACATTTGCTGGCTGCTAGTCCTACAAGCCCCTGCTCCTCTCCCACAGCTCTCTATACACCTGAACCTCTTTATATTTACCTGGGTTAGCTGCTTGCACTGCTCCTTTGCAACAGCTGCCTCCTCCTTCATCGCAGCAAGCATTTTTTCTTTGTCTTGTAGCTGATGTACAGCTGCAGCCGACTCAGCCTTGCTAGCCTGCAGCAAGAGTATACAAAAATGATCATACATGCCTGAAGTACTTGCACAGCACACCAGCAGGCAGCACAGCAAACCTGAGGGGAAGAAACACCCCTTCCTGCCCCCGAATCACCCGTCTGCATGGCATACATGGCACCACCAGTACCCAATTCTGCTGCTAATGGATCCTGCAGCACTGATTTCATTAGACAAGGAAATGCATTTTCAAAACACACTGAAACCAATTAAGAGAATAAATGGGCTCTTAAGGTGCTTCCACAATGGAAGAGAGCTGCTGCAGTAGCACTGGGGAAAAAAAGAACAGCCATTAAGAGAAATAAAGGAAAAAGATGCAGAGATGCTGAATCATTCAATAATTGAGGTTGGAAGGTACTTCCAAGATCACCTGGTCCCTCAAAGCAGGTATAACCCAACTTGGATTACAACTACAAATTTAGTCTCTTGAAATATCTCGCTGCAAAGGGAAAAAGGGAAGGCTGATCTGGTCTCCCCTTCCACTTCACAGAAGAGCCTTCAGTTGACGTAATTACGTTTCTGCTGGCACACTGACACACGAAGTTTCAGAGATACACAGGGAACAGAACTAGAGCAACGATCCCCACGGTCCTGCCACTTGTACACTGGTCCTAAAATGAATTAGCTGCAACAAGGGGCAAACCTTCTAAAATGTGCACTCAGACTTCACTCAATGAAGACTGGTAACTGAAGCAGCAGAGAGGAGCATCAGTCCCCTAAACCCACTCTGAATTTGTTTGCAAGTTCTCCTTTAATGGTATTGTACTGCATACATACACAAAACACATTGTCAACATCTTGCATGAGCTACAGGTAGGAAAATATTCACATTTCCATCTGCAGAAACCTACATTTTTTGGTTGTATACAAACCCAGGAATCCATTTTGATCCTAGAGGTTTACCTTTAACACAAAATATTCCTTAAGAAAACCAACAACAAATACAGCAAGCAAGCTGGCTGATGTTCTGAATAAAACAGGGGATACCGTTGCAGGTGTACCACTACAGGGTTTTCAGTCAAGCACTGAATCAGGGGCCCAGAGAGACACTGAAGTCTCTGTCCTTGGAGGTTTGAGACCCAGCTGGACAAATCCCTAAGCAACTTACTCCGAATTCAATGTTGACCCTGTTTTGCACAAGCAGTTGGACTGCATGACCTCCTGAAGTCCCTTCCAACCCGAATTATGTGATAAGCTACTATACTGTGTTAATTGAGTTGACACATATCTAGTTCTGAATTTCTGTTCTGGTACAATATCTGCAGAAGAATACAAAATTGCAAGACTTGAAGTATGACAAACAGGATGTTACAAGCACACAATGACAATCATAATGAGTCATAGGAGGGAGGAGTAGATATTTGTAAGATATTGGTGGTCACCACTCTTAATACAAAAATTAAGACAGAAGAAAGAACTGCCAAGCACTGGCACAGGTTGCCCAGAGGCATTGTACAGTCTCAGTCCCCGAAGGTTTCAAGCCAGACAGGATAAAGCCCTGAGCAGCCTGGGCTGACCCCAGAACTAGCCGTGCTTTGAGTAGGAGGTTGGACTACAGACCCTCTGAGGTCCCTTCCAGATCTGAATTGTCCTACAGTCCTACGGAAAATATCCAAAGAACTCAGCAGACTAGAATGTATAGACTTATTATAAGATGGAGAGACTTGCAAAACACAGAATTAGCTGGTTTGAGTGCACAGCCACAGCAGCTTTTTCTCAATTTCTATGATAGTTTATCCTATTTACACACATTTGTGAAAGATCACTCCCGAAAGTCACCAGATAGCCTTCCCTCATGCCAACACACACACACCAGCTGCAGCAGCAGTCCTACGTTATATACCTTATTCTCCATGGTTATGTCTGCTCTTTACGAGCAGTCAAAAGCCATCCGCCTGTCTAGCCAGCCCATAGGATGGCAGATGGCAGCACACAGACATCTGACAACTGCTTTCTGCATGCAAAGCAAGCACAGACCAGCTGGAAAGAGTCTTCCAAAGACAGAACACAGAAATCACAACAGAACATTGATATAGCCGATTTGACAGCATCTCTTCCAATGTCTGCTCATTTAATAGTCTTCTCTTCCCCCCCCCCGCCGCAGTCATTCACCTTTTGCAAGACATCATGAATTGCACTGGATTTTTCCTTTAACACCTCCACTATGCAACGGGCCTCATCTTCAGTGAAGATCATATTCTTCATGGCCATTACAAAGTCTTTAAATTTTACTTCAGCATTCTCTGCAACACAGAAGGGAGGATATGTTTACTCTGGACTCCATACAGAATTATTTATTTTGCCTTGAAACAGCATGTGACGGTGTATCATTATGCATTATATTTAATTTCAGTCTGAAATGCCGAGAAGCAAAAGGTCATGAGCATTCTGCAAAAACAACATATCTCCAATTTAAATCCCGTAACAATCTGCCAGCTGACAGTTTGGGGAAAAAAATCCCACCATTTTGTTTGTACAGTTGATAACATAGCGTTGCTAGCAAGACAAAGCATAACACAGATTTTGGGGGAAAATTAGCATTAATGGGAAAACTTGAAGAGTCCTTTCTAGCGTATTATGACAGTAATTCAAACTGAGCTCTCAATTTAAAGGACAGCCTGGCTCCATAAACAGTATGCAAATGACAAGGTAACAAATTTAAGAACTGGCACATAGCTGATTACAATATATGGAAACCAGAAAAATATTCCATCAGTCTAAGTTTGGAAATTAACTGCTGCAGAAGGAGTTCAGCAGTAGGAAAATAAATCAGTAAGTGTTTAAAAAGACACAAACAAGGAAACACAAGTCAACTCAATGGTCTTACAGGAACAAGACATATTTGTTCATAAAAAAACAGGCTGCACGTATGTAGGTCATTAGGTGGCCCCCTAACTTAAGTAGATAGAAGCACAAGACCGAGGCATCCGGTATCTCTGAAAAATATTCACCAGTTGTCCTGGTTTTGGCAGGGATAGAGTTAATTTCCTGCCTAGTAGCTGGTACAGTGCTGTGTTTTGGATTTAGGGTGAGAACAAAGTTGATAACACACCGATGTTTTAGTTGTTGCTAGGTAGTGTTTACACTAGTCAAGGACTTTTCAGTTTCTCATGCTCTACCGACTGAGCAGGCTGGAGGTGCACAAGAAGCTGGGAGGGGGCACAGCCAGGACAGCTGACCCCAACTGGCCAAGGGGACATTCCATACCATGGGACGTCATGCTCAGTATATAAAGCTGGGGGAAGAAGAAGGAAGGGAGGGATGTTCAGAGTGATGGCGTTTGTCTTCCCAAGTCGCCATTACGCGTGATGGAGCCCTGCTGTCCTGGAGATGGCTGAACCCCTGCCTGCCCATGGGAAGGAGCGAATGAATTCCTTGTTTTGCTTTGCTTGCATGCACGGCTTTTGCTTTACCTATTAAACTGTTTTTATCTCAACCCATGAGTTTTCTCACTTTTACCCTTCCGATTCTCTCCCCCATCCCGCTGGGAGGGGAGTGAGCGAGCGGCTGCGTGGTGCTCAGTTGCCAACTGAGGTTAAACCACGACACCAGTGCACAAAAGTACAAAGGACTGGAGGGGGGGGGGCCAGGAAGGAAAAGCTTAAAAGTGATGCTTGGTTCAGAAAGTGTCCCAGAGGTCATGGAGAAGGGTCCAGGTTTCCCACCACAGGTACTAAACGTGCCACTGAAACCAAGCTACACCAACCCAAACCTCTCCAGAATTTGAAAAATGAATGAAGAACAGAAAAGTGCTGGTGATACTAAGTCCCTAAGAGAAGTTACCAAGCATAAAAACAAATCACTGAATAACAGACTCCAAGGAGGCAGGGGGAAGCGCTGAGAAGTTCTAGCACACTCTCTCCTAGTCCTAAAACCAACTTAGTCTTGGCCACAGACTTCAGATCACATCATTGCTGCACTGACATTATCGATGATATGTCCTGTTACCAGGAATATGCCCAAGTCCTGAGACACGGTTCGGTTAGCTGGAAGTCTATAGCAGCTTGGCCTGCACCAGCCTGAGCCCTGTGCTCCCTGAAGACAGGAAGACCTTGCCCTTGCATTCAAGAAGCTTACAATTAGAATAGGGGAAGACTTCTATATTGGGAGGGCAAATCCCAGCTGACACAGGAGAATTAGGAGCTCATACAGAAGGTTACAGCTTGCAAAGGAAATGAGAAGCGACAGGTACACGTGAGAGGCTTTGATGCTGTGGGGCAGTAATATGCAGCCATTGAGCCAGAAGCACAAGAAGAGCCTCAGGCAAGTGGGAATCCAATCTAGGCACCACAAAGCATTGCCAGGAAGCGTTCAAGTGAGCATTTTAGAAGACAAGTCTAAAAAGAGAGGTTCCAAAGAGTGCAGTGAGTGACCAGGCAGACAGTATTGGAGAGCCAGCCTTCTGCACAAACCTGAGCAGGTAATCATCGCTCAGTCACTTGCCTTCTCCTCTCTGGCTGACCACGAATTTGAGGGTCTCACCTCATGGCTCAGTAAGTCTGCCATACTTTGAGCAGGTCAGTGGCCTGTTTAAAGTTTCAGGCTGGGACACAATGCTCATGAATCACTCCAGGCCTCTGTGGGAAAGTATGAGGGAAGCTCCCCTGTCCCAACCAATTCCAACTGCACCGAAAGGAAAATTCAAAGTCTTCCTGGAAACTGCCAGACTATCTCCGCTGGCAATTTGCTTCAGGTAACTCCCATGTTGCAGTCAGAGATACACTCTGGCTGGTCAGCCGCAGCTAGCTCCATGAACAGCCCTAGAGCATACAGGCTGCGCTCCCAGTCTCAAGCAGACTCCAACAGCCTGTGCTGAAAGCTCTTCGTTTAGAGTCCATCACTGTTAGCGATGCCTGAACTATCTACCGTAAAACTAGCTCGCGTGCATCTGTGTGGTCTGTGATCACTCGTTTGCTCACTGTGAGAACACAAAAGCCTACAGTCAGCGTCAAAAGGATTCAGATGGCGCAAAGCCCTTTCAACAGTGCCAAGGACAGGGGAGAAACGGGCACAGACAAGAGCAGCGTCCTGCAGCCACAATGTTTTCCTCAAATCACTTCTTCCTAGCAAGTAAGAGAGGATCCCCCTCCCCACACACACAGCATGTTTTCCCTGTTCAGGTTTCCAGGCAGGCTATGCCAGAGAGACTGCACCATCAGTTTCTTACCTTTATCCGTTTCATTCTTCAGTTTCTTGCCACTGCTCTTCTGGATCCCCTCATTCACGTTTTGTTTTGTTACTTCAACCACTTCTCGCTTTTCCAAAGTGCCAGCATCAGAATTATCCATCAAAGGAATATAAGTAGTTGCTTGAATAAGAGGTTCATCCACCAAAACTGTAATCAAAAGTCCACAGGCTGGGTTAAAGCTTTGTAATAATTAACATCAACCTTTTTAGAAAAGGTGCATAACATATTAGAGAGTCGGATTAAAGCATCTCTAACCTCAATAGTTAGGTATACTCTATTTCTATTATCCTTCACAGCTTCATTCATTAAAGCTCTTCAGGTAAATTCATTAAATAAAGGTCTCTAATGCATAGTAATTTAATAGTTTCAATTAAACTTCTATTTCCAAAGCTGCCTTTTAGCATTTTAACAAGTAGCTGAGAAGAACCTTCACATTTTGACTTTCATTTCACTTTAATGAGAAAGTTGCACATAGCATCAATGAGACTGGTTGACTTGTGGCTGCACATGAAATCGTTCAGCATCCCTGAAGCATGAGTATAGTAAAGTCTTTTGTCCCTATTCTGTTAGAAGCTGGTATCTTACTGCCAGCATTTCTACCCAGATTACATCACCTGTGAACCAAACGATTTAGGCAGAACATGCAGCAGGGACAGCAATCAAGCTTATTTCACATGCAGACTCAACTGCACTTAATGAAGATATCTCATCTGTCAAGAGCAGGCTTTAGGCATCATTAATATTCAGAGAGGTACCCGGAGGTACCGACCGACCTCGGGTCTCCATTCACCATTCACACAGCACTGTATAAACATGGTGAGGATCAGCCTCTGTCCAAAGAACTTTTCAGCCTGTGCTGCCGAGACAAAAGCAGGGGAGAGGAAGAGTGACAGACCAGGGACAACAGATACAGCCAGCAACGGAGCTGGCTTTGCTGTTTGCCCAGCTCCTGAGCTGCTGGTCCACACTGCCTGAAGTATGCAAGACATTGTGCACGGAGCCATGCCACAGCAGGAAAGCTCACTGACCCAGCCAGCCCAGACTGAAGGACCGATGGACAACAGATGCCACGCGGCAGACCAGAGAGGAGGAATTGGGTGGGATGCAAGGTTTCAGGAATCAGTGCAAGACAAATACACATTCCTGGCTGCCAGAGAGCCAGTTATAAAACAATTTTGTATTCTGGCTGCTGTTAAGGAGCAGAATAGGCCAGATGGACCTTTTGTGTCACCTGCTAGAGTCTTTGCACTAAAGCAGCCAGCAAACACCTGCAGGTACACTGCAAGCTCAGAAGCAAGGAGAGCTCTCCTCCAGCAGAAATATCCACCACCTAATCCAGTTACCATCCTCACCTTTTCCCTTCCTCTCCTTAACTTCCCCTCCTTTCAAGATCTATTCAATATCAATGAGACATTTCGCAGCATCAGTAACATCTGAAATCCCCATAGTACTGTCTTGGCTAATCCAGATACCCACCGCAGCTCATTTTTGCTCTGTCATTTTGGAGAGGTGGCTTTAAATGAAAACAGCTTGCATTTAAATAATGTATGAGCTATTCCCGTGTAGCACTGACAGCTTCACTTTAATGCTGGCTGAGCTGGTACTGATAGTTATTTGCCACATACAGATGATTTTGAGGGGCCATTTTATGGACCACAAAAAAGGGCAATGGATGCATTGGGAAAAGCACAAGAACATCCATAAAAGCCAATCACATCCTAGGTTCCCCATCAGTAGGTTTCTTCCAGGAATAATTTGAAAGTTTTTCAGTTGTTACAACATACAGGAACCCTACACTACTTGGAACCTCACCCTGCTCTGACCAGGGCCCATAACTGATCTGGACCCTGATGACCTGACCAAAGTATAAAGGAAACAGTGACCAACGTCGTCTACTCCAGGAGCAGTCCACCAGCCGCCAACTTCTTCATAGCTGTCCCAATAAAGTTTTGAGAAGCTAACAAGGTGGCCTCACAGAACTTCATGGTCACGCTCATCCCAAAAGCCGCAGGGACAACGGCACTCATTGTAAAAAACACAAACACAGAGGCACACTGAGCCAAGAGGAGACAAGAAGCAGCATCTTGGCAGAGAATGAGGGATGACGAACAGTAAAGGCCTTGACAGCAAAGATGAACAGTTTATGTTGGAGCAACAGCTAGCTAACAAAAGGACAATAAGAGAGGAACGTGGTCAAAGCAACCGGCTAAAAAAACCGCAGTCTTGTTTGGGCAGATGACTGCAGCAGTTCCAGAATGACTGCAGCAGTTCCAGACATGCCTTGCTCAGAGCAACTTAGAGCCTGCTCAGCTTATGCTTTAAGTCAATACATTACTCCTCAATTCAAGCGTGAATGTTTGGATCCAAAAAAAGCTCAGAAAGGTTCACAGCATCATCCCATGTTCAGTGGTACCAGATGTTCATCAAATTAAACAGTATCTCAGGCTGAGCAATCTTTCCTACCTGGAATTCCTGCTTTTTCAAATTAGAAGAGTTATTCTCCTATGAGTTTCTTTTCCAAAAGAAGAGAAACTGAAGTACGGATGGCAAAAAGGTTTTACAGTCAGGTTCATTTGAACTAAGTCACAGTCTGTATTCTCACCATTATCAGCTTTCTGCTTCTTTGCAGAGACTTTCTTCTTTCCCGATACATTTTCTTGCTTTATCTCCTGGTGGAGCAGCACTGGGTCTTGCTTTTTGGCAGGGGATACAACAGAATCAGTCTTAGTATCTTGATCATCTGTAACAGACAATTAAGACAACATGCTCTTCTGTACATTCTCATCATTACTTTTAAATCAGTAAATCTGTAATAACCACCAAAGTCCACTCCCAGAAAAAAAAGAAACTCGTATTTTAAATCAGAACACGAAGTTATCCATATATATGTACACACACGCACACAAACACATACGCTTCCTGTATCAGACGAGACCCCAAAGCAATAGAAAGGTTTAGCAGAGTCAAGAGCCACAGCACCTAGTGTTTTGACAGACAGGAATCTTATCTGCAAGCAGAACATACGGCAATGCAAGTAACAGTTTAACAAATCCAATCCAGGTTTTACTGCGACAGAGCAGACAGCACGTTACCTGTATTAGTTTCTCATTTTATTCCCCCCCCCACAAACCCACTTGGGTATTTTACACACACACACCCCCAATAGCTACTGGGACTGTGAGAAGCAGAAAATAAGTGTTTCACATCAGGGAACAGTTCTTTTTAAAAGTTGTTTCTAGTGAGAATTTTTTTATCTTTTTGGACAGCCTGTGCTACATAATATTCTTGTCAGAGCTGACACACACAATAGGGCGTTACAGTGTTAGCTCCTGTAATCAAGGATAACAGTTAGTTGTGGCTGCCCTCAGAATAGTGCTTGCAGACCACATTTTAACCATGCCACAGAGATTTTCGGAGAACACCCACAAACAAGATTTGATTTTTTTTTGTCAGTAGTGGGTAGGTCTTTTTTCTCCCTTTTTTCGGAAAAAGAAAAAAATCCACCACATCAAGCAGCAATGCCGTTCTTTTTCCTCACTCCCTGTAGCAAACCTGTTATGCCTGCATCTCGAAAGGGTGATCTGCAAATACTTCGGTTTTCACTTATTTCTGAAATTGGGTATTTTTATTCTTTAACTTCTATTCATAGTCAGACAACCACACTGAGACATATCGACTTCTGCTGAGGATACGGTCAAGACAGTCACAGGCGATTCTGACTACAGTTTTCGGTCTGCTCTAGGTTGGATGTCTCGGTTACAATGGCTGGACCGGTTTTCTTTTAGCATCAGTTCCATTCAACTATAGAGGTGTAGCAGGTGGGAAGCAGCTGTAAGTGCTTCTTTCCACGAATCAGCCACCGAACACCTCTTTGTACATTAAGCCTGCACTTACAGTGATCTGTTTTGCACAGTCTGCTCTGAAGTTTCCCTAGATGCCCTTCCTTATCAGAGCAACCACACTCAGGACTCCACGCTTTTTCATAGCTGGACATCAGAATGCACGCAGCAAACATCTAATGACTTCTTTCAGGTAATCAAAATTTTGACAGCTTGAGAGCAAAGTACCCAAACCATAGAGCAAGGCAGAGATACGAGCTGCTCTGTTTCACTCAACAATCTTTAGTAGAAGAAAGCAAGGATGGGAGAAGGAAAACCAGAGCATTGCTGCCAGATGAAAACAGGGAGAAAAATGCAATAGCTCGTTAAAAGGAAAAGGTTAGAAGTGAGCTTTGCCCCATAGAGATCAGGCAGAACAGTTGTGAGAGACACTCTGTGGCCTTGCAAAAAGCAGAACACGGTTTTGGCGTTCTGTGCAAGAAGCATATGCAACATCAGATACCCATTCCATTTTTCTGCTTCTTCTGCCCAGGCTTCTTCTTAGATGCTGTTGATTCAGATGGTGGAGTGGGCTGTTTTGTAACAGGGACTGGTTCTACTTTCTTGCCTGAAGACTTGGATCCTTCCGACTCCTTAGTTACATGGTCATCTTGAACGGCCTTATGCTTCTTCTCCTTCTTCTTCCGTTCTCTAACACCAGTAGATGCTTCAGTCACGCTCAAGGGAACAGGAGCGACGTGCTCTTCATCCGTACTCAGGGCATCAGAGAGCTTAAAGTCCCGAGGTGTACTTTCAGAGTCAGACTCGTGGATGTTCCCATTCTGAGCTTCTTTCTTCTTGTTCTTCTTCTTCTCCATTTTCTTTTTATCAGTCTTGGTAGGTGGAAACTTTAGGTCCCTTTTCTGTTTTGCAAGGACTTCATCATATAAAGTCTCTTTCATGAAAAGCCAGAAGAAGAGGAAAATGACTGTAATAACCACAGAAGGAATGAGGACGATAAAGTAGGTAGACTCGTAAAACTCCATTGTGCTTTTTCTTAGCTATATTTAAAAAACCTATAGGGAAAAAAGAAAAAGAAGAGAAATTAGGTTTTGAACAGGTTTTCCTCGATATTATTATAATTGGTGGGGGAAATAATAAAAGAAGTCTTGTCATTGGTTTAGGGAAGCCTTAAAGTAGCTTTTAATAAAATTACCAAACTGTACCAATCATGGAACAACTTCTGGAGTCATTTACCATTTGCTTCAAAGTTGTTAACCAGGATAGGAAGGAACTGCAGTTCGCAAGACTGCTGATCTTGAGAGAGCAGTTCTCCTCTTTCCATACTTTTCTTCATCTCCCTCATTCTCCGTTCCCAAGTGAATTTCATAAAGTTAGAGCTTTTGATTTCAGAAATACATGAGACAGCACTTTCAGAGGCTGTGAAATAAGGACCAGTACATGCAGAGCAACACTTTTTTTTTTGCCATAAATCAAACATAATGAATTAAGATTTTTATCTTGACAAGTGGGAGTTAAGTTTCAACTTCCTTTTGTTCCCAGATTTATGACAGCTTCAGAAGTAGAATGAGGGGAAGAACGGAGAGAGCCCTAAATTTTAGTCAACGATAAAGAATCAGGTCTTTTCAAAACTGCTTTTTGAAGTATAAAACCCAGCTTTAAACTCAGGAAAATTCCTCTCGTTTATAGGAAAACAGGCAGGTCTGTTACTTATTTTGTGCATGTAACTGTACAACTTCCAGGGCACTAATAGACCAGATGACTCCAGGATAATTTGCTGAAAACACTATTTGTGCTCAGAGCATTACTTTTTTTTAAAGCAGGAACCACAGACTTAAAAGTAAAAGAGTCAGGATGAAGTTAAAAAACCTAATTTGGGGGCCAAGACAAGATCAATTTTCCCATTTCACAACTGAGGACTATGAACAGACCTGCATTTTTGCAGGAAGAATTCGAATCCTCTTCAGACTGTTTGTTCCAAGGGAAAAAAAGCGCACCAACCATTGAAAGACACAATCAAAACTAATTAAGCAAGTGCAATTCCTGATTCACCAACTCAGTTTAAAAACCTCCATGGAAAGCACGTCCTTCAACTACATTTTCTTCTACACAAGAAAAGAAGACTCAACTCAACTGTCCCTTGGGAGACCCATTCTCTCGGGAATGAAAGGCAAGGGATCTAACCCAGGTTGTGTCTCCCATAATCTCTGCCACCTTCTCTGCAACCACCACCCAACTGCAGCATCCCCCAACACAGCCAACACGTGCAAACACTTGGGGAAACCTGTACTGTTAGCCACTCTGGGCACTGTTACACATCAGCCTGCCCTTCTGCTTCTCCTCAACCAACTTGAGGATGAGAGCTTCACACAGGCTTAGCCGTAAGCGAGATGACCCCAAAAGAGTAAGGGGGAACTGCCCCACACCTTAAAGCAATATTGCTTGGAGTATTTCCACTGCCACTTCGAATATATGTGCCCCACTGAGGGCACAAGGAATGAAGTCCATATAGAAGTTGCACAGCACAGGGCTCTCCTTGCTTCTGGGCAGACAGAGGATTACTCTTTAAATACCTGCTAGTATTACACTTAGTGGTTTTTTTACCTCAACTCCTGGCTGTGCTGGAAGCTGCTATCGTAAACTGGTTGGCCATCCTGCCACATTGGCGAGAGCTTGGTTTGGAGCCCGGCTCTAGCTCAAGAGGGAAGAGTTGTATCTAATAGTTTCTGGACAGAGAGGAGTTACTGTGATAATATATTCATACAGCACATTGAGCAGCACAGAAAGCAAGTAGTGGGAACTCTAATTTGGCTATTAAGTTATCCAAATAAAAGACTAACATTTCAATACATTAATGTTAAGACAACTGATGAATAACTAAGTCTCCTCCCAGTTTGCATTTACTTTCTGTGTGTGCACAGCTCACCGAAAAGGCTTGGGTCTAGAATTATATCCAACACAAAGTTTCAGAAGGGCTGAGAGGGGTGGGAGGAAAAGCTTGTCTTCTGGGAAGAAAAAGCACAGATGCTCGAAACTAAGCTGGAGCTTTCAAAATGATTAGTTACAGCTACTTGATAAAACCAGCTTCCTGCAGTAAGTGATCTAATATTAGTTATCTCTTGAAGGAAGCAGATCTTGAAAATTTGTCTCAGCCAAAGTCAATATTGAATGCTTATGGGAGAAGCTAATCCCCAAAGTAAATATGTAATTAAGCAGATTTTTCACAAGTGTAATTAAATTGATCATTACAATACATTACTGCAACAATTACAATACCTAACCACGAAGAGCCCAGAACAGCCCACCTCTGCTTTGGTGATACACAAGCACGCAGCTGGCCGTAAATCCACCCAATTGCTTCAGCCAAGCCAGGACAATCGCACCCTGCAGCCATCCCTACATGTTTCCCAGCACCTGACACCAGATGCTCAGGTCGAATCACACGCTCGGCAAAACACATGTTGCAAAAGCTCGAGACATCAAGTGTCAGGAGGCATGATGGTCATCAAGGCAAGACCAAGTATAAGCAGAAAATTATTGTTGCTTTGAGACACATTTAAAAGCTTAAGTTGCTTCCAAGAGGAGCCATAAATACGTAATTTTAACACCTAGTCCGAGTGAGGAATACGTACTGGACAAGATGAGGTCTGATCTCAGAGCTGGCTGAGCAACGCAAGCTCTGCCGAGCCTCCGTCCACCACCCTGCTCTCCCCTCCCCGCACTTAACTCCGCTTGTACAACGGGATCATTTGCACCCTACACCTGATCCAGAGCACAGCGTTGCAATGGTGAGTTTCAGAGCCTCCACAGACCCAGTTGCCGCTCCTGCCCTCCTCCGCTCATCAGGGCGAAGTAGAGCATGAGCCAAATGAACACTTCCACCCCAAACACTGATCAGAGGCACGCAGATTTGATCTCCGAAGTCCAGTGGGGAATTTCACATACACAAATCCAGCCTTTCACATGGAAGCAGGGTTCAAAAAAACCCCCAATCAATTCTAGGTACATCCTGAGGCTTTTACTTGTTTAAAGACACTCGGGAACGGCAGACAAGAGCTCTGCTCTGATGGTAATACACTCATTTCCCATCTCAGCCCAGCATGAGCCAGGCCATTTAAAAAATCCCTTCTAGAAGGGTACCATTGCTGCTGGCTTGTATGCAGAATGACATCCTTCACCATCCACCCCTTGGTCAAGACATCTTTCTGAAGTGGCATCCTTGCCATGGGGTATTTGGCTCACACACAGTTTCCAGTTGTCCTCCAACAATCTACAATTACTATACAAGTTTCTCTCTTCCCATCTGTACTTCTGTATTATGCTGACAAGCCACCTAGGAAAAAAACAGAAGCAATCTATAGGGAAAAAATCCTATACCATACAAAAAGAAACAGGACAGAGAAGCTGCTTCAGTTAAACCAGAAAAAAGTGAATGCTACGTTAACTTAAACCTTCACGTACCAGCTTAAATGCTCCTCGGGATTTAGTTTTACGCTTCCTCCCATTCCTGTTAGCTCTGGAAATATGAGACACCCTCACAAAGATATTACTTCTCCCCCCTAGAAGTGCTGGCAAGGGGACTTTAATCACTTGCAGCCCTCCCTTGGACATCTTTCTGGGGCAGCTGCATCAGCTCCCTACCCACTCAAAGCTGCAATCCCCAGGCAAGGCACACCCAGCAGAAATCACACAAACACACCCCCTTGCTACTGCCAATGAGAGGCACAGCGACTTTAGCTACTTTTAAATTTCAAGGTATTTGAAAATATACACTCACCTTTCATCCATATTTGATATTTAACCTGATATTTATCGGGCACGTTTCTTAGAGCCCGGCTGCCCAGCACCCGTGCCAGGCTCCCCACTTGCAGACACGCTCCCGTCTCGTTCGTAAATTCAAGAACTCACAACATCCCTTTCGTCATTCTGAAAAAGGGGAACAAACTGCATCTGTCCCAGCCCGCGCGCAGACTCGGTTACTGTTCCCATCCTGCATTTAACAAAAGAATTGCACTTTTGTTCCCCTAAACAGAGCCCATGCCACAGAAGATAACTATTTCTGAACTCCAGTGCAGTATTATTGCTTGCACCTGACTTCCTCTGCTAGTTAACACCGCCCTGGATTTTATAACACACCCTTTGCTTTTTTGCATTTAAATCTCAAGTTTCACCCTGCACAGATACCACATTTCACAGGATATTCATTCAGTTTAGGTCCAGGGGATTAGCTTACTTGAGAAGACAGAAATAAATTATAGCTCCATCTGGCTAATGAGTCACTCATAGCTTAGCCCCAGCACATTAGAAGCACGGCTTCTATAAATGCTTGGGTCTCAAGATGCACATAATCTCCAGGGATTTGTGCCTCTTTGAAAAACTAACATTAAAGGGGGGAAAATATAGGTACCAAGGTAATTTTTTTTTTTTAAATACTAAGCAGTTTAAGAGATACCACATATGATTTGGCTAAGGCAGCAGCTTCTTTAATTGGGGTATTTTCCCTGGAATTTTCTCAAGCTGGCAAGCAGACTAAAAGAAAGCCCTCACATTCAACAGTCACTAGGAACACAGCAAGAAGTCTCAGAGGAGTATCTGTATCCAATAAATTCCTCAAATAGATAAGAGGGGTTTTCCCCCCCCCCTTAATCTGCACACAGTTAGCAACACACTCCATATTAGCCAGCTGCAAAGAGGATCTTCTTGAAAACAGGTTCACTCCCAAACTCATCTTCCCCCAGAGCTCTTCAGGAGAGGATGCCCAGCAGCTTGGGCTAGACAAGGAAACTAAACTCAGATCTGCCACAAGTAAAATATAATATTAAACAAGATGTTTAGCCACTCCATGCCTATTCCTCACCCATATAGTGGGAACAGTCAGCACTCTGTGGCTTTGTTCATGAGCATGAACTAACTAAAGCACTGCTGGGCTCAAGCTCCAGGAAGGAGGGCTGCCAGACAACCCTAGAGGCAGTTCAGTTAACATCAGCATTGCTACAGTACAAGAAAAAACTGCCGAGTTCGAACTTAGGTTGGTTTAGTTTTGGT